TTGGCACATAAAAAATTTGTTCGATTTTCTGAATCAGCAGGTGATTCCAGAGAGGAATTGGAGAGGGGCATCCGTGGAGCAAAAAAAACTAATTTGTGGAACAGTGTAATTAGTGTTACTGCAAAATTTTATTTGTTAGCAATGTAATTCAATAAATCTGGGGTTGTTTAAGGCACTTCGTATATTAAAAAAACTTTATCAGATTCCGACCACAACTACATAAACGTTTACACTTCGACACATATCTGCCACAAAATTTATTTGCCTTCTAAATAGCATCTATGCACATTTAGTACCCAAACTGAATTAGTCCTTTCAAATAAAAATTGATGCTTATGTGCTCACTGAAACTTTTCCAAACACTGTTTTGTACTTTACTTAAAAGCAAAAAATGAACAAAAGAACCATCGAACTAGAAAAAATTAGTAAACTGAACAGTAATTGCTGCAGTTCCCAAATAAATAAACTGAAGCTAATGCGCTGAATGAGCTGATGCACATACATACGGACATACTTACAAAGCTAAGAAACAAATATTTGTGCATATAAATTTAGCGCATACGTACTTATTTGTATGCAGTTACACTTAATACGAGTATGTAATATAAGCCACACACCGAGGCCGCCAAATGGTCCAGTTTAATGCAGTTTTGCTCAGCAGCGAACAATTCAGCAAGCCAGCGCTTCCGTATTTGCCAGCATTTAGATGTCTGCAGTTGAATATCCGCTACCTCGCTGTTGCAACCATTTACTCAGTACGTCAGTCAAGCACAGAGGCCATCAGTCAGTCTGCTCGCAGTCAGTCCGTCAGCCGTACGCTGTCTGTGCTTCATTATTATAAGGCTGCCCCCTTTTTGCTTGGCATAAATTGCAGCTGCAGCACACAGATTGCCATGTCTATCATCTGGTCGACTATCAACAGCTAATCTTACTATTTTCACTATATGCTGGTTTATTTTAAGTTCTTATTTTTTGCTTATGCTTTATTTGTCTTCACTTTTTCTTTTGCTTTATTTGTTTTCAACTAGCTTTTCAGATGCGTCACGCAGTTCGCATAGTTAGTAGAACGCGCATGCGCAACTTCATGCATGTGCGGATAGATAGATGCATGTAGATAGCGGCTGCTTCGTTGCGAATAGCAACACCATCAGGCGATAGAATCGGTTCTTAGCGAGTTCAATTACAGATAGCACGTCTCTTATTATTCTTTCGTTTATACGATTTTAATGTTTTTTTTTGTTTTTTTTTTGTTATTAGCTACTTTTGTCCATCTCTACTACTAGCTGGCTAACTCCTTGCCTCATTACAATGCCATTGATCGGAGATCGTATCATCAGCCAGGCATTACGTGCATTCCATCAAGTGTACACTTTGATTACCTACTGCCAATCTACACCATCCACCGCAGTCGTACTATCAATATGATCGCGCAATAATGTGCTTGTGTCTACGGTGTTGCCGGGCTTCTGCCATCCACTTTGCACTCACGTTAAGCATTGATCGTTTTTGTTGTTTGTATTTTGCTAAGATTGAATTTGTGTTTTGGTGGCAATACTATACACTCTACGAAGAATGCATTTGTAAACGAAGAACTCAAAACTGAGTTCAACCATTGGTTATTACCTCGCCATTTGGCCAAGCAACCGCGTAATATTAGACATCAATTAAAAGTTATAGGCCATTAGCCATTAGCCATTAGCAGCACATTTGCGGTTGGCTTACCATTAAATTTGTTATTCGATTCAATCTAGAAATATGTATTTATGCATGCTTCAAGGTGAAAATTGTTAGAAAATGAAAATAGGAATACCTTTGTGCATCAGTATGTACTTATGAAAGCATTCGAGAGAATTTCTTAAATGTAGAAAAAATCGTTTAGTTTGTTTCACAAATTTTTGGGGTCATATTAATAAAAGCTTGTATACCATTTAACCATTCAAATATGTTGGCCCCATTAAACTATTTATAAGGTGGAGAGACTAAAAGCACAGACAAACGGCAGCGTTGGTCCGGATCAACGCGTTTATTAGGAATTATCTCGGGAAGTAACTGCAGTTGATCCGGATTAAGTCCTAAAGCTAATTCGGATCAAGAGAATTTTCGATGACAACACTGGTCAAAACGGCGAAAAAGCAATTAAGTGAGTAAACAATGCAAGCTGGGTTGGCATCCGCGTTAGACACAGTAGCACCTATATATTTAAATTACCTGTTAAAACTGCGTTCTGCTTTACCCCTATTTAAAACATCTTCGATAGTAAGTGGAGCACCACGCCAATTTTCCAAAATTTCATATTAATCTAATTTCCTTTTATGAGATTGTTATGAGTATAAACCTTGAGTAAATTAGAGTCCTTTAATTTAGAAATATCGAAGCGATAGCAAATGTTGGAATCCGGCTGCAGGTCAGGCTTTTTATGTCAATTCAATGTTATACCGAGTTTAATTATACGAATTGATATACCGATTACCGAGAAATATGCATATATAGTCATAAGTTGGAGGTGTCATGCTCATTTTCCAAAAATTTGTTTTAATCGTATTTCTCGCTAAACATTAACCGCTATTTTGAAAAGGTATTATGCATACGTACACAGATTTTTTTTGCAATACGGACGTTTTTTTATTTTTTGTTTTCGCAAACTCTTTTTAAGAAAACTTTTGGTATTCAGTTTTGTAGGCCATCAAATTTTAGTACACTATTGAAGAGGTTGGGACTTTTTTAAAAGTTTTTTCGCTGCAGGTGTTGCTCATGACCGACGCATGATCGCCAGAAAAAAATCGCCAAAAATCAAAGGGTAATTCCTCTTAATTTTTTTAAGTCAGCTTAAATTTCAAATTTCTCTAAAATTTAATAGAGGAAACCATATATGTATGTATTGATATTCATCAATTCAGGAAAAATCTAATGTCGAGATTTTTGGATCGATTTAAAAACGACATCTGTAATAACAGAATTTACAAATTAGGAATAGATAACGGCTGCGTTTCTTTACACATTCCGGATAAACTCATTTCACAGCCAGAATAAACAGAACGCGTTTGAAATATACGTTAACATATCATCAGGGACGTTCTAAAGAAAAAGTAAACAAAAAAGTTTATTCCAAACGTTCAGAATGAATAAAGAAATGCCGCCAACATGTCGCACGTTTAATAATAAACATAATTATTGGATCAGTTCATACAAGTGGTGTTCAAACATCTTTGAACATGTGTGAATACATATATACCTGGGTCTTAAAAATACTCAAACTTAAAATTGTAATAAACATTTCTAATCCTTGAATATTCAAAGGAAAGATAAAACTTGTGCACTTGCACCAAAACTAACATACAGTCCACTGAAGAAAATATAGATAGAAGAAAATATAATTTGTACACTTACATTTACATATATAAATTCATATGTATGTATCCAAACACAAACATACGATAAGAATGTCAAGTGCATTCGACGCACAAAAGTAGGTAATTAAATAAAAGGAACGTTCGCGAGAAACAATAAAATATTGAATCGGTTGATCCTTTATCAGTTGTAAAAATATAAACACACATAAAATGCAGCGCATACGGGAAACATTAAAATGTCAATGCTGCAAAGCAACCCTTATGGTGCCAGAAATAGAAAATAACTTGCCTATCAATATTCTTTACATGCAAAGATGTAGGCACACAACCAAAATACCATAACAACCAATGCACTGGTTTCTTATTTATATATATACACACACACATATGTACATATACAATTAGTTAGGAAACATAAAGTAAGAAAACTATATAAAGAAGAAATATTTAATAAATATTCAGAATCGTAAAGACTCTCAATAACACTCTGCTTCTTCTTCTAAAATTTATTTTGTATGCTTTACTTCCCCCCACCAGCGGTAAGGGGTAAAGCTTTTAATAATTTTTATTCTTCTTTATTTATTAAGGTTTTACTTTCCCCCAACAGCGGTAAGGGGTAAAACTTTTAATATTGAAAATACTAACCTCTTATTTTATTAGACTCTACTTCCCCCCACGGTGGTAAGGGGTAGAGAATTTTAGAATAAGAGTATTTGTAGTTCAAGCATTGCTGAGAATTACTTGTTACCCCCCACCCGAGGTAAGGAACAAGTGACTCAGCTCTGCAAAGAACAATTGGTATACCAAAAACAGATGGAAAGACACATATCTTAGCCATTTTTGAGAAATTTAGTAATCAGTCAGGCGGAGTATATTCTGCTTATCAAGCTTATTAATTGTATGTTGAAATCTCCAAAAACGTAAATTTTGAATTACATACATCTCTATGTTTAATATTAAACGAGCGATATGTAAAACAAAAGATTTTTAAAAATAAAAGCTTGCAATAAAGTAAGGAAGGGATTCTTATCCCGCTGATTTGAAAATTCCCACGGGTTTGTCGGACCTTCTCGCAATAGAAATGTAAGCGTCTATACCTGGTGTATGGTATTTATTTGAAAAAGAATGTATTTTTCCCCGTTTTTGAATAACTTACAGGTAGAGATTTTCATGTAAAGTAGTCGAATATTTTACCAGAAACATGAAACTTTAACCCTCTAGAAAAAAGTTTAACTTCCGCTATTCCATTTTAACATCTGGCAATTGCACAACCACCCAACTCCAACAAATCAAGTTTTACATAAATATCTAGCGATTAGCCAAATACTATTCAAAAATATTAGAACGGTGTAAAAACGACTTGCTAAAGAAAGCTGATGAAGATTTAGAGGTCTGTCGCCCATTCTTTTCCACCTACAACGAAGTAGTTTCCCTAAGAAAAAATTGGCTTTGAAGATACACAAAAGTTAAATCAGATTTAAGAAGCAACTTTTGTAGCGAAAATAAATTATTTAGTTAACGTCAACAAATTAATGTCAAGTCGGCATTTCAGGAGAAGCAAACGTTTTCAAAGCAGCAAAAAATGTGATAACAAATCGCGGTAACTTACATTTTTTCTTACAAATTTTAACAATACCATAATTTATTTAGGCTCCGCAATATATAGTGACTACCGAAAAAACCGAGAACACAATCGATGTAGTGCTAAGAAACAGGAGCACAAGGACAAAGGCCCATAAATACCACAAAATAATTATACCAAAAACCAAGGAGCTGGAAAGAAAAAGAAAGACAATACAAAAAGGTTTATTAAAAACAAAAAATAAACCAAATTGGAGTTCAATTACACATTTACTGAACCTTAAAATAAAACAACTGAGAAAAAGTCTACATAAAAAGAAAAACATAATCATTGCCGCACACAAGAGCAACAGAAACGAAGAAAACATCTACTGAGCTGAAAACGTGAACAAAAACCAAAATTGGACATAAAAAACGTACAACAGTAATTACTGGTCTACTTGCAACACAACAAATTTAATACTGCAATAACAATAAGCCAGAAATAATACCAGCAACAAAACAACTTTAACGAGTACCTACATTCACATGCACCAACTCGCATCACCCTAATAGTCAGCCGGAGGAACAACATGGATAGCATGTCGTCGTCAATAGAACCGGTGCCGATGGTGCCGCGTACCGCCAATTTGCTGGCCTGCAAACAATGGTGGCGCGTCTGCTTCTTGTACGGGGACCAGCAGAAGTACTACCGACAAGTTTACAGCAAAGCGGCTGCCCAACGTCTGGCGCTTTCCACTGGCGGCGTCGGCGCGCTTGCCACTGGATTTGCAGCGGACAACGGCAACGACGACAACGAAAACGAAAACGAGAACGAGACGAATAGTGGCAAGGACAGTGGTTGTAGTGGCAGCATGCATAACGCTGACTACGATACAGTGGCCGGCGATTTTATCGAAACGCAATTAGACGAGGCAGATGCTAACCCCACAACAGCTACAACAACTTCAACAATAACAATTGATGCGATCAGTGGCGCCGATATGGGTAAAACCCGTAATCAGGAGGTGGACAAACTGTTGACGAAGAAGAAGAAAAAGCAAAAAGGCAAAGAAGGTGACGAACAAGCGCCGCCAGTGCCACTCTTTCCCTCCAAGTATCAGGCGCACACCAATGCCGCGACGGGGTCGTCAACCACTTCATCACCGATATCTGCGACAAGTCGTGGCAAAAAGTTGCTACGCTCTTTGCGCGGTCACGTCAGTAAAGTTAGTGAGTCAACGGTGGGCGGCGGCAGGTCAGCAAAAGAGCGACATAAAAACGCGACCGATCTGCACGGCAGCGAGGCGACTAAAGGTAATGCACGCGTCACAGTTTTGGATGATCCTTTCCTATTCGGCATAGACGGGGACCATTTGGGCGATTTGGTGCGCGGCAAGCAGTATGCTGCCAACACCACGGAAGACATTTCCAAGTATTATAGCTCTTATCTGGTGCAGGAACAGGAGCTAATGGTGGATGCTCATAACGCAACACAAGTTGATTTCGGGCAACACTTATCCACAGCACCCTCAACGCCGGAACAGTTTGGTTCACTGCAGTACGAGGGAGAGGATCCAAAGCCCGCGCTACCGCCTAAGAAGAAAAAGCAAAGTAATTATGAAGCTTTGGATAGCATATTAAAGGGGAGCACTGAGAGTGGCGGCACTTCTGAATTGCAACTAAATGAAAATGAGTTGAAACTTCTGAATCTGAGTATGCGCAATCGCAGTTTGCCACGGAGCATGAAACCATTTAAAGATGTGCCAACCGATATCAGTTTTACATTTACGGAAGCCGATGGCGACGGGTCGTCACCGCCGCGTTCAACGCCATTGCAGAAAAGTGCCACCTGTGAGCGAGATATTAATTTGGGAGCGCATCGAAGCCACAGAGACTGTAATGAGTAAGTTTTAGTGATTAAGTTATTTCAACCATAAAAACTACTTCTTTTGTCGAAACTCCTAATTCTACTTTTTATGTTTTTTAAATTAGTATCTCAACAATAGGTAACCATTCATTACACACAGGTTAAGACGTTTTCCTTTTGATATTTACGGTTAAGTTTATTTGCTTTTATTAAATAACCGCCATCGCTGATTTTTTTTTTTAGATGTAGTTGGAATAAGCTTCAGTTATTCAATTCCCTATCGTGGAAACAGTGAGGACCGGGAATAAAACCTAAAAAGACTGACTTAGTGCTCTTCACTAAGAAGCACAAGATACCCGACCTCGATTCTATATCTCTAGCGAAGAGACCAAATATCTAGGTATCAGACTAGATAGGAAACTAAACTGGGGGTCTAACATGGCACATAGAGTGGGAAAAGCAACGTTAGCACTATACTCTTGAAGCAGGTCAATAGAAAAAAGATGGGGATGGAACCCAAAATAATACACTGACGATACACTGCTGTGGTTAGGCAAATTCTCTATCACGGCACACTGGTGTGGTGGGACACCTTGGGAAAGGGGTAAACTTTAAAACTGTGGATAAGATCTAAAGGCTCGCGTCCACACTAATAGCTGGTGCGATGAAAGCAACACCATCCAAGGCACTTATGACCTACTGAACTTTGTTCCGGTAGATCTATATGCCAAACAAAGCGCAAATTCGTATGAATAGACTAAATAAGTGGTCAAACACCAGTTATGGTCATGGTAAAATATTAACGGAGTTTCCGGAGCTTCCCGGATTGGTGGACTATGCCCTTCCTAGCCATGCTCGTACAAAATCGTTTACGACCCTCTTACCCTCAAGGGAAGAAAGAAAACGAGGCGCTCTAAGGAGTGGCGAGTCCATCCATGTATACACAGATGGCTCAAAGCTCTAGGGAATGGTTGGTAGGGGTGTATACTCAGAACACCTGGGCAGCTCCCTTAGCTTCCGTCTTCCGGACCACTGTAGCGTCTTTCAAGCGGAGCTGATGGTAATCGATCGAGCCACAAAATTGGGACAACCTCCTTGGTAGCGTTTCATCGCCACACATCTCTCAACGAGATGGCTGATTCATTTCGCCCAATGTCGCTATGGGTTCCCGAACACTGCGACATTGAAGGGAACTGCAAGGCCGATGAACTGGCGCGACTTGGCACCAAACTACCTAAGATTGCACAATTTGATTAAAAAAAAATATTAACGCGAGCGTTAATACTTTAAAAAGACTCGTTTTTAGCGAACTTTCCCTTTTTAAACGACATTAGCCGGAACAACTTATCCCTAGTTTGGATTTTACTGCCATCCTCCCCAAACTCATTGTACTAAATAAATTACTAAATACCATGCTAAAACCAGTACTTTTCTAAGAAAAAAGGCTCACGATACCACAATTTCTAACTTCTCCACAAAATTTCAAATTATAAAACTGGCATAAAAACTTCTATTGCGCAGATGTCAATCTCTTATCAACGTATGTATGTGAAGAGATCTCTTTATAAACAAATTTTCAAATGCCTGTACAATTTCAGGCAAATTTAAAATTTAGAAGCAGCTGGCACAAGTGAGTCTTCACACAGATCTTGGATAGCGGCAATCTAACCTATCCCATGCATTCGAAATAAATAATTTTACCAGAAAAGCAAATTGGTACTAAGAGAAAAATATGAATTCCGATCCTCGGCATGCGAACAACTTAATTTGTTGTCACTTGTTCATCGACCGAGTAACAGTTTTTTCTTCATTCTAGAAGCGCATCTGTTTCTTAAAGTCGGCTACAAAAACTTGCTCAGTATCTCATGAATTTCAAAAATCGCACTTATTTGTCAAAAGTAATTTCACGCGACGCATTGTCAATTTAAATTACTCAACGCAGCAAAACACAAAGAAACCGGAGATTTGAGAAAACAATCAGCCGAACATCCAACAACCAATCAGAAAATCAATGAAACAACGAACGAATTGAGGTGAATAATGGACTGCCGCCGCTGAATGGCGACCGCATTTACTAAATTAGCCAAATGAAGATGAGAAGTGAGGTGATGAAATCCGCAAGCTCGAGTCAAGTCTGTGCGTATTGGAAAGAAGAGTATTCGAGATGAAACAGAATAACAGCAACAGTAGTCTGAAACCGCAAATTGCAAAGTGCAAAAAAAAAAACATTCATAAAAAAGAAGCAATTTCAGAGTGAAGACAAAAACATACAAAGCAACATAATGATTGATTACCCTTTGGTGCAATAGCGAAAGCCACGCAGCATGGTGCGCAGGAGAAGGGGGAGGTAACATGAAAAAAAGGTAGCAAAAGTCAATGTACACAAAGTGAGCTGAGTGAGAATATCGGGTCGTTGGGCCGCGCGCTAGCTATCGGTTGCAAAATTGAAACCACAAGCAGTGTGCAAAATAAACAATCAAAAAAGTAATGTAGGAAATGACGGCCAGTCAAGCAGGCAACAAAGCGAGTGGACAGCGAACAAGACAAGCGACTGCTCGGCTGTTCAATAGGCGGAGGCCGACGCCGCCCAATGGACAGGGCCCACACGAACGCTAAACGCGGCTCCACAAAAAGCACATAGTGCACGCATTCTGCTGCACATGCGCATGTGTGTGTGCGAAAATGTATGCGTGTGTGCGTTTGCTGGCGGTTGGCTTGAAATTGAAACTTGCTTTTGTTTACACACGAGAAAGACGACATGCAGTGCGAGTAACCGATCACTTGGCCGGCAATTGTTACGCATGCGCTTTTGCGAGCAGCCAAGCATAATGGGTCCGCAATGGCCACATCCTGCCGCGTTAAGCCACACTGCTTTGACTGTTATTGTTATACCCGAGCGCACTTGTGCACTAGGATAATATAACTTTGCTCGCATAACGGTTGTTTGTAACTACCTAAAAGAATGAAAAGAGAAATTAATTAAACCATCTCTGTCGGTCCGTGCATACGATAACTTCAGAAAAAATTTAGATATCATCATTAGGCGTGTGGGCTGCCTTTTATTAAAGATAGATATCGAAAATGGCCAAAATCGGACGGTGACTACGCCTCCTCCCACATACGGCATTTCCGAAACAGAAAAAAACTAGGATATTTCCGTAAATACTGGATACAAAGTGCTGATGTATTGTAAAAAGAGTTGTGGCATTGAAGAAGACAGTTGCTATATTTTTGGAAAATGGGCGTAGCCATGCCCACTTATTATGAACTCTCCCATCTCAGTAGCCGCATTACCCACCAAACTCGGCATAAACAATGCTTAGATTTTAACTCAAGCTTTCTATACAGTTCAATGCGATCGTGAATGTGAATCCATGGTGAATTTTTTCAATTCACAAAGGTAAGGAAGTTCATTTGCATTCTTTTGCACGTTTACGCACATCTATCAAGTTGAGTCTATATTCAACCAAATCAGGGGCGTAATTCGAATTGTGCCGAGGTGAATAGGGAAACTTGTCGTTCGAAAGACTAATTGAAAGATCTGCTAACGAGGAGGTCTTAGCTTTATGCTATTCGCCTTTTAAATAAATAAATAAAATGAATTTTTTAAAAACTAAATAAAATAAAAAATTTAATTTTTAAAACAGAATCTGAAAATTGGAAAAAAGTTTACAAAAAGAAAAAACAAAAAACAAGATCCTAAACCTTAAAGGAAATTAAAAAATTTATTTTTCTGAAAAAAAAAATTAAAAGTACATGAAATTAAAAATAGAAAAGCAAATTATGTAAACTAAAAAAGGGAAAAATTAATAAAATAGATTTCTAAAAATGAAAGAAAATTAAAAATGTATTTTTATTTTTAAACAAAATTTAAAAAATTTGAAAAATAAGTAAATTAGAAAAGAAAAAACAAACATAAAATTAGTTTCTAAAAATTAAATTAGGTGGAAAAATTAAATATTTTTTCTTAAGACAGTAAAATCTAAAAATCAAATAAAGAAAAAAGTTTGATTTTAGAAAAAGAAAAAAATCCGCCTTCCCTCAAAATAGCGTTTCACCACGATTGGTGAATAAGAGAAGTTTTTTCTAAAACTTTTGTGCTAGAATAAAAAACGCTTTTCGAACTATCTTGACATCTGTCTTTCATTTGCCCTACGAAAGATTTTCTACTATCTTAGCCAGAATTGCCCTGTAAGAAACCTGTTGAACATTTTTGAAATAAGACTAGAACCTCGCTCACCTCCAATGTAACTGTAATTTACAGAAATACGAAAACTACTATAAATCAGTAATTAGCGAGGTTACTTCTATCGATTTTTGCAAAAATCTCTTATCAATAAATTACGCTAATTTACTGTAAGGTAATACCTACAAAAATCTCTTAAAGAGAAATAAAACAATTGACGTGGTACTGCTCACCTGTGACTGCATAAATGTATATCGTTGTTTATCGATTCCTACCAAACTTGGTCCAATAATTTCTTCGTGTCTAATTAAGCATATTATCGAAACTGTATGATATCTTATCATGTAGTTTACATAAAGATTAAAAAACGTTGTTAAATACGTGTGCCGGGTATTAAAGTTCGGTATCGCCCAAACTTATACTTCTTTACTTACATATTTTTTTTATAATATTTTGTTGCTTTGCATTGTTACGCATGCGCAGTTCATGTTACCCGATTTCGTAACTGATCGCACACTTTGCCAGTTCTTGTCTAACTTCTCGTCGCGCTACTTCTCTGCAAGACGGCTAAGTGATTTAGATGCATTTTTTCACTTCAACGTGCCTTTAAAAGATTTCTTTATTACTTATTTTCCTAGCAGTATTTCTTCATTTTGCGCTTTTGTTCATTGACAGGCATCAGCTAACTGCAGCAAGCGGCAAAATATGAGTGCCAGAAAGCATACATATGTATTTATATACATATGTACATATACTTACGCTTAAAGTATTGTGCAAATATTAGGCAGCTATTATGAGGAATGTACTGAAGAGAACTGCTACTTCTAAATACTATTTTGCGCCTAGGCAA